GTCCGGCGAGTAGAACGTTTTGTTTCATGTCATCTCTTTTTATGTTGTGACCTGTTCCACGGGATGCAACGAGGGAGAAGGTAACTGGAAAAAAGCTTACTGCTGCTGCCGACGACCACTGTATCGCTCGCCCAATGAGTGAGAGAAGTTCATATTTTTTCCTTTCAACCCAGTCGTGGGATTAAATTGTTGCACCATGGCGTCCGGCTGTGGCTTACGCAGTTGAACATCACTTTGCCTTCTTTTTCATTCGGAGTGGAGGATTGTGTGCTTATGCCACTTTTTTCCATGAGCTTACGCACTTTGAGCTTGAGAAGACCTTATTTAATGGTGTGTATGTATTAATTTTTTCTAATCTTAATTTTTTTTTTTGCCGACTTACTCGTGCGCTTGTGCACTTTTGTGTCAATATGTACGTACATACATACATATCAGATCCTTTTTTATTAATTTCTTGCTGACTTATTTTCTTTTCCGGATTATTCGAAATGCAATTAAAGCAAAATGTCAACTTTTGAGGCAGCAGTGGAGACAACATTGCCGCCAGCGGCAACCCATTAAATAATAGATGCTGTGCCTTTTTAGTGACACGATCCGTTGCAACGCAAGCATACGTACATACATACATATATATTTACGTATATTGCTATATGTTATCTACATACTCTGCCCACTCGTGAGACTTTTTTTCGAATAATTTTTCACATTATAACCTTCCATTCATTTGGTTGGAAACACTTTCTAGGCAAAATTCAACCAAAGTAAAATTTTAAGCGAAAAAATTATTTATCATTCAGTTGCATAAAATATTTAACCATTTCAACCCGTCTCACTTTGAATTCTTCTTTTCACACCGCGAATGGCTGATTGCTTAGTGACTTTTACTTAGAAGTTATGTATGTTCGTTTGCACTCCCCACCTCATTGCCAGACGACAGATATTTGCCTCATTTTATATTTAAGTCAATAAAAACACATTTCGAATGCCATCATTGTCGCACAGCTAGAAGATATCTATAAATATTTATACGCAGGTATAGTATGTATAGAGTGTAGATACTCTTTACTTATGTATGTACATATGTGTATACTGTATAAAATGTATTTCATGTTCATGTCATCGAATGAGCTCATTATGAAATCTTACATCTAAGGAGCACAAAAATATTCTACACAAATTATTTACCTTTCAGTTATGGAAGCCCTAGTAGGAATTAAAGTTATATCAACAAGCAGCGGCCTTGTGGCATTAACCGGAAAGGTCATATTTTCGCGGGGAATTACTTGAATTTTTGAAAAGTAATGACGGTCATAATCAGTCAAAATGGAATAAAAAAATATTAGATAAAATAAATATGTGTGTTAACCCTTAAGAGGTAAGGTTGGCTCACTCGTGCCTCGACCAAAGTAACTCTCCTTGCTAGCACAGACGAGAGGGGGCGAAGGGCGAAGGAAAACTATCCAGTAAATAATGGTACAACTAATAAGCTGTTACCTCCCCAAAGGCCACTGGTTTAGTGCATAAGCAGCGGCCCTGTGAGACTATCGAAGTTATGAAAAGATCTAAATTTTGATGTTTTTTTGGTCAGAAATTAATGTTTTTCACGAAAAAAATCTTTTTTAGTTTCAAATATGTCCCAACGATCCCCAAATGATATTGGCCGCAAATTTCGTCCTCGAGATAGTGAAATTGATTATGGTAATGGAGCTAGCGTCTTTGATGAGGTCTTCCTCGAGCATTTAGCGACACTAAAGTTTCGTTTGAGGAAGGAGAATCAGATTCGAGAGCAAATGAGGGGCAAGAAGACGAACCGCAGCCATGTTTAAGTGGTGTCTTGAAATTCCAGAAGCACGTAGACAAAAAACGTACAAAGGGCACGAAATAGTTTCTCTGATGCAGCAAATGTCGCAGGCCTGTATGAAAAGAACAAAGATATGACTTATGCCTTGATTGATAAAAAAAAAACTTTAAACATCAAAACTTTCTATTCTATTGTAAACTCCACCTTTTTACGTACTTCGAAAAAAACGTGATTTTCATGTTCAAAACTTAAGCATCCATTAATCTCTCTGGACTTTCATTATTATTTTTCCTTAAAGTACTGTTTTAAAGCTTCAATGTTTCATGTTTTTAATTGTTTATATAATTGTATTTAAAAAGAAAAAAAAAATATTTCAACAATTTAATGATTGGTTCTTACACTCGAATAGTTTCTGTAATACCACTTTAAAACACTGGTTGCAGCGCAAAACACGATTTACCCATCGTTACCCTTTTCAGATGCCGCAAAGCACGTCACCTCTCAAGGGCTAATATGTACGTGTAAAATAATGTAATTTTTATCATGTACGTATGTATGTAAATAATATATATTTAATTTACGAATCGATTTGAAGCGTTAAACAAAGTCGAATATGAACATAACTTAACATATAGCGTTTTTTCTCAAGATAACTTAACTTAACTTAACGGAACTTAGAACTTAGAGAATCAAAATGAAATAGATTTCGACGCGGCATTAAGTTATGTTAAGTTTCCTCTGTTCAATTATAGGCAACATCGATTTAACAAAATTTTGAGGTGAGAGCCGTTATGTTATGTTATGTTAAGTTGCCATAATCGTACCATATGTCTTTAATTAATTTCATTTCACTTATTTCTGATACGGAAAATAAATTTATTTTTACAAGCGTAATTTAAAAATCAACCGAGCAACTTTCACGCTCACGTTTATTTGAGGGAAGAAAAGGCAGCACTTAGGGGCTGAGAAAAGAACATAGAAATTTGACAGCACTAACACAGGGCAGCCTTTTTTCGAGAAAAGAAAACGCTATTATCGATCTCTATATTCATAGGTATGTATGTCACATATGACCCAACGAACATTGGTTAACAATTCAAAATTGATTAGAAATCTAATTTTTTTTTTTGGGCTTCCTACAATAGGTTAGTATTCGATTCGAGAACTAGGCCATTCTCCAGCAAAATGGAACCTTCGTTATCCAATCTATTTGGAGCTCTCAAAAAAAAAACAAAAAGATCATATGCATATCGAGCCCTAACCGCCAAAAAGGCGTAAATGAAATTTTTTCAAAACTATTTCTTTGATGCAGAAATGTAACAAGAGCATTTAAATACATGCATTTCTGCATCAAAATTAAGATTTTGAAAAAATATCGCTTACTTCTTTTAGGCGGTTAGGGCTCCATATGTATTTAATTCTCCAAGAAAATTTACAGCAACGAAAAGTACTTTCTCAGGCAACAGAAATAAAGAAAAATATTTCTTGTGATTTTACTTGAGAGTTGTATTCCAAGATTTACGTGGAAACTATGACTAGCCAAGAAAGCTAGGAGATCATATATGTAATACTTCTATATTGGCAGTAAGCTAACTTCTCAATGTGTAAGCATTCCGAAATCAAAGCGAGACATTAGGGGCATTCTCCAAATCTTGCAAAGCCATTGCACGTAGCACGGATTGCACGGATTGCATGGATTGCATAACTTGCAAACACACAACAACAAAATACATGGGAAACAACATTTCCTATCGCTGGAAAATATGCAACGTCGAAACCCATGTATATATTTTGCAAAATAGCATATCAAGATAAATGCGACCCTGTGCTGGTTGTTTTGTTGTTGGAATTGCTACATATTCCTCTCATTCTTCTCATCCCGGTCACTTCATTTTTTTTTTTGCTGTCTCTTGTTATTGTATTTGATACATAATTTCGCTGATTGCTACCCATGCATGCTACCATTTTGCATTGGGGTGCTCTCGTACTCTTCGAAATTTGAAATAGTATTTTTGCTTTTCGTGCAATCCGTGCATCGTGCAAGACTTCGAGAATACCCCTAGTGTAGTACCATTTTTGTCAATGTATTGTGTACTTGCCCAACGGGACTGAAAGTAAGCTACTCCACAAAGGAGCAAGTACGGAGCAGTACAAAAGCAAAGTAAAAAATAAATTTTTAAATTTCCAACAATGCTCAGAAATAAATATCATTTTGAGTAGTAACATAAAATATTTTCTTTTGAAAAGAATTTAATTTATGTGCAAACATGTATGTATGTATGTATTTTCGTATGTATACCACATAGAAAAGAAAAAAAAACATGTTTATAAGTACACTTAATAAAACCATCAAATGGTTTACAAAAACCCCATTCTTTTATTAAAACAAAAATATAATATAAAAATTAGAATTTGCATGCATCGCTTTTTAAAGGCTTTAGTTGAAGCGCTCACCAAGGGCTTCTTTGGGAGCAGCAAGAGAGCGCTTCTCTCTAATGACACACAATGTTAAAATACAATGAAGTATGAAATAAGGAAGGGAGCGCTTACTGCTGAATATGGAGCGCTCCAATAGACATAATGGAGCGCTTCTGGCCCCGTTGGGTGAGTGCCGTTTTTGTATATGTGTTGTGTACATGTTTATTTATAAACGTATGTGTTCCTTTTCTTTCGTACGTGTTTATTGATATATCTGTACTGTAGTGTATTCGGACGGTACTAGCTCTTACTGCCAATATAGTAGTATTACATATATGTAGGAGATGAATATTTCGACTGCTGAGTGGAAGATCGACCTATCTCGGCAGCCAGTTCGAAAATGCCCTATCTCAAAAAACTTTTCAAAAACGTCCTATTTCAGAATTTGGTTGAAGAACGCCCTTTTTCATAATTCGTTTCAAAAACGCC